TAAGCTGTACCTAGCCCACACATTTATGCACTAACAGTTCAAGAAACTGCCAAAAATTAGTCTTGTTCACAGATGCCATTTTATGATGATCCCACTCATGGGAAATCGTACAGGGAAACGGTGTAGTGAATCATGTTGAAATGTTGCGTCATTCTGTAGCCTGATTGATCCACATATCAAACATATTCTGACAACGGTTCTTATTTTGGTGAGCATGGGTTTGTCCATCCTTTCTTTACATCATCAAGCTGTAGGGGTCATCTTATTACATCCTTTTTAGCACATAGAACATGTTGATATACTTCATGAGAAATGGAAATATGTCGCAAAGCTTGAGTACAATCAATAAATTACTTTTTCTGGGCGACTGCAAAGAGTTGCTCGTTCTGTAAAAATGCCACGTCGTGCACAGTTTCCTTCACCTATAAAAAGATAAGATCAGAGAAGTACAATACATATATGAGGTGCAACAAGAAATAATGTTGGAGATGTCTACAGTCAGTGATTATAAAAACCAGGGGCTGATGTCGGAGAAAAGCGGGGAACAATATTAGAATGGAGTGTGGATTTTTTGTACCCACATACCAGTGTACCCTCTATCTAGACCATTCAGTTTGTGTCAAGATTCGTGGTATCCTTATATAGAAATTTCTCCTTTTTTACGAGGGACAAACAATGCGAAGGGGTCAGGTCCGCTTTCTTTCATCAAGGTTCAAAAGATGCTACTAGACGCTGCTTACACGCTCCTTTATGGACTAAAACATAGGGACAGGGGACATCATTTTGCAGACTCCACGAGCCACACTCCCCTATCGCCACGAAACATCCTCCTCCAGCTGCCAGCTGCAACGACCTGTACATTCTCTGCAGACACCCTCCATCCTACTTCCTTACCTTTGTAATTTTTGCTCTTGGATGCATGGTCCTTGGCCCAGGTATACGGTTGGCTACTTGGCTGCTTGTCACCATGTTCCAGGTTACTGTCTAGGAACTAGGCATCCATACACCGCCCGCTTAGTGCCTAGCTATCACTTCTCCAAACCTTGGGAACCAACGGGGAGACAACGGGAAAGTCTCTGAAGACTTTAGTCTTTTCTGGGCAAACAAGAAAAACTACCTACGCTAAACTCAGCATATTTTATCCGAATTTGAGCTGCTATCACTCAAACCGTATGAAATGAAAAAACTCAATTACTAGATTTACTAAGTTGTAAACTCGTACTAGGTGCACTCACAGGTTATCAGAACAACCAGAGTATAAGGCTGATTATAACTAAGTATAAGGGTGATTAACCCATGTAATCTCCTGCAAGGTGAGCAAACTGTTGGGTACCTACCAGGTACTCTAGTTTCTAGTTTCAATACCTTGTGTATCATCTTTACTTACAACTTATGAGTACATAAAATAGATATCCTTATTTCTCAATGGTATCTTAGGCTCCTTTTAGCCTTCACATGTGTATATTTGTCGAACTAGCAGACTAAACCCCAGAGTTCATTTAGTTCTTGCTTTCAGGTTGGTCTAACAAAAGGCACAAACTTTTAATACAGCTAATTTCCACCAATATTGAGGACCAGACTAAGATCATTCTCACAAGTCTAATTTATGAGCAAAGCACTGAAATTCAATAGTGAACATTTTACTGAGGAAAAAAGAACAAAAAGAGAAGTAAACCTGACAAACTGCTTAAATACTGAAAGCTGACCTCAAATTCATTGATGAGTTCCATATTCAACATATCCATAAATGCAACATGACCTTTTCGCCCACCTACTATCATGTAGCGCCCATTTGGTGTGTATTCTAGAGTATAAGGACCAAGCACTGCATACAAAACAGCTAGTCAGCACCCTCATACAACTCATGGTCATAAACCATAATTAGGGAAACTGACAGTCAGCATTCAGCAAGGTGGCAACATAGAGTATGCCTAATGAAATAACATAAGAGCCTGCAGCAGAGTTCTTTCACTGAATTATTCGATTAGGAAAACTGTTTAGTCGTACAAAGCTGATAGTGTCAATGTTATGTTATGGTTACAAATGTTTTACAGGCTAACTTGCATCTTCCTTTCACGTAAACAGTAAGAAGGGTATATGTAACAACCACATGGTAAGTCTATAAAGGCATACACAATAAGAATCAAGAAATACGATATCGTAAATCTGAGCTGGGCATCATGTGGCTATTTTGGTACTGGATAATGTAGCTAGGGTGGCAGATTCAGATAATAGTGTAACAGATCTACACATTTACCAGGTAAGATCATGTCAAATGATTTTCTTGAACTCCAAATGTCCACCTTTGGCAGAATCGACCACTGCTCAAATCTGTATGTCTTTTCGAGACCTTCAGGCTCTAAATAGCCCCCCTCGATAGGCAACAGCCACTGTAAATTGAGTAATAAAAAATCAGCATAGTGCAAATTAATTATCTCATGTTTTTCACAAGTCAGTTCGACTGGATAGTTGTTTAGCATGAAAATCAAGAGGCATGAGGTAGGCAAAGAATTTAGATGGGTGCAGGGTTATATTATGTTCCGACGAGCACCATGGAGTTATGCAAGAGAGTCCATACTCAAAGTGACATATAGCCATATGTATCTATGCCATAATTGTCAAGCAATGTGAATTAAAACGATCCAAAAAGAGTATGTGTACACTCGGTAAATTTTACTCCTTGTCACGGTAGATGCGTCGAAAATCTACTGGCCGGTCTTTCGCCGGCTGGCCATCATCTCTTTAACAGCAACACCAGATCAATCTATGTTTACATTTAAAATGTGGATTCTATACATATGAGTAGAGCACTTCATCCAAACAGTTCCGCACGACACTGGTGAACAGCTAAAGAAGAGCTATATTCTAGAACATCACATTGCCACAAGTCACTAGTCGAGAATGCCAGATTCCCTTTATCATGCATACACCGTTTGGTTAGTGCCCCCGAGATTTCCAGTGAGATAGCAACATATATGTTGTATGAATCAACAAATTCACACACATTCTGCAACAAATACACAAACACAGACCTTTTCAGCCTGCGCGGCAGCTTTGGCGGACACTCCTTTCCAGCGAGCTGCCCTTTCAGTTTCTTGTCGCGCAAATCCTGTTACGAAGAAAACCAAAGATGCCAAATTCACTTGTGAAGTAGCATAGCAGGCAAAGAAACTAGCACCTGAATTTCCAACAACCACACTAGGACAGAAGGAGAGTAGCAATCCTATTCCTACCCCCAGGTTCGCCGCCTTCCCCCGGGAGAATCTGGCCACCTTCATCTCCATCTCGTCCAGAGAGCCTCGGCGGTTCTCCCTCTCTCTGGGGCCTCCTTCCGTGGCGATCCCCATCCTGCTCAACCTGTCACAAACTCACGATGGAAAATGTAAATTTAATAACGAGACGGCCACGCGAGTGAATTTACAGGAAGGAACTCCTGAACAAAAAAAATCGAGTAGTTATCGTGGCATTAGCATGTTGATTAGACGAAGCAGCAGCATTCATCTGCCCTGCAATTGTGGAGGTCAGTGGGGTTTGACTGATCACAAGCTCAGACCTTGGAACCCAAAACCCAGTGGCCGAGGCTCGTGGGCGTGTGGAGTCGGCAGGGACGCAACGACGAGACGATGGGGAACGGGGACGGCGATGGCGACGGCGGCGACCCTCGTGGGTCGTGGGAGACGGGGTTGATCTATGTTTTATTTACGTGTCCTTGACAACAAAGTCTAGATGATGGAGGTGGCGTAGTACGGAATAATTCTCATGGTTTCTTGTCACTGGGTATGTTGATCTTTTGTATGTGCTCCTAGTAGGTGAAGCAACAATTCAACAACCTATCTTACAAACGATGTATCCTCGGTCACAGTACGTTCGACGGTCTTCGCTTCTAAGCCATTGTCATAGATGGCTCATACACGCTCTTTGAAACCTTTGAATTTGGGAATGCACCATGTGCAAGTTCGCTTGTCCGCAGTTTCTTCACTGGATGTTTGAAGAAAAGTCGAGATGCAAGAGACGAGTCTGGAGTCAATGACTACCAAGGACTTTTGATGTAACTTTATTTATGTTTTATCTTGACCTTTTGATTATTTTTTGTCTTTTTTTCAATCTGATGTGATTTGTGTAAACTATCAACAAACATGGTTAAATACGCGCAACGCTCGTACCCCTTCGCTCCTAGGCAGTGGAACCCTGTCACTAGTGTTTTCCGTGCCTCCCGCCAGCACACCTGAAGGCCATGGATCCATGGTGGATCCTGACTCTTGCCAACGGGAGGCTTTGTTTTTGGAAGTTTTTTTTAATTTTGTTAGGGTTTGTGTCCTACTCAGAGATGTTAGGTAGCGCCGGCTCTTTGAAGATGAAATAATACTCTCCCAGCCCAGCCCTGGTACACCGCTGCTTATAGCATCGTCAGAGGGTGTGTGAAGGTTGGTCTCTGGTGGATCTCATGGGAATCAATCGGCGTTTTGTCTTTGGTGTATTCATGTGAATTTGGTCTTCGTTTGTCTGCTTGTGTCTCTACAAATCGGATCCTTCAGATCTACGCTTCTCCTCGTCGATGGCGGTTGTTATTTTGATGCGCTAGTTTATATAGCCTTACCACGACGACTTCCCATCTGTCTACTACAATAAGATTTGCCCCGTTCCAATAAGGGAGGGTGGTGACGGTGGCGCCCCTTCAGTCGCTCGAGTGCTTATAGTCGTCGCTAGATGGTCTACTGATTTTGATGTAATTTTTTTACTTATGTTGTTCTTTGTACTATCTTGACACCTGATGACTAAATAGAAGTTCTTTAAAAAACACGTTTGGATTTATTTAAAAATCAATTTGGATGTGTAGCCATTCAACTCAATGCAAAATTGTCTCTTTACCAGCCCACCGGGAGGAGCCTTGGCAGGCGAGTGGTCAGTAATGCTAAGATCAGCCTTCCCGCTGGTGTTCCAGTTGCCGCACAGGAAACCGCCCCCAATCCGCCCACCCCGCCCACCACCTGTTCGTCGCTATGCCTCCCCGGCCGCCGCCGTCCCGCCGCCGCCCCCTCCGCCACGGCCGCTCCCCCCGGCTTCCGCGTACGTGCACCTCCCCTTCTGCCGCAAGCGGTGCCACTACTGCGACTTCCCCATCGTGGCGCTCGGCTCCTCCGCGCCCTCCCCCGGCGGCCCGGGCGAGGGCGAGGACCCCCGGATCGCCGACTACGTGCGCCTCCTGCTCCGGGAGGTGGCCGCCACGCGGCCCGTCTCCGACGACGGCGTGCCGCTGCAGACCATCTTCTTCGGCGGCGGCACCCCGTCGCTGGTCCCGCCGAGGCTGGTGGCCGCGGTGCTGGACGCGCTGCGCGGCAGGTTCGGGCTGTCCGCGTGCCCGGAGGTGTCCATCGAGATGGACCCCGGCACGTTCGACGCGGCCAAGCTGCGGGAGCTGGTGGGCGTGGGCGTGAACCGGGTGTCGCTCGGCGTGCAGGCGTTCCAGGAGGAGCTGCTCCGGGCGTGCGGCCGCGCGCACGGCCTGCGGGAGGTGCACGAGGCCGTCGGGATCGTGACCGCCTGCGAGGGGCTCCAGAACTGGAGCATGGACCTCATATCCTCCCTGCCCAACCAGACCCAGGAGATGTGGGAGGAGAGCTTGCGGTGCACCGTCGATGCCCGCCCCACGCATGTCTCCGTCTACGACCTGCAGATCGAGCAGGGCACCAAGTTTGGCCAAATGTGAGTTCATTCTATCCATATCTATGAGCTATGATCCCTATCTTGAAAACATTATCGGTCCTGACAAATATGTGTGTTGTTTGTGGTGGTTCTGTTCTATAGATAATAACGAATTGGAGAAAAACTAACACACTGCAACCATCATCGTCACACAGTTAGCTACAAGTGTTGTTTTGATTTGCACTGGTTTGTGTTTTAGAAGTTCGGTCTTCTCTTATTGGAAAGGGGCTACTTGTATTAATTAGGTTACAGAGCTGAGGTTACGATCCTGCAGTATCATAATCAACAGGCAAGCCGGGACTGCATCTTGTAGAACACCACCACACAACACCTTTCTACAGCATCGAGCTAAACCATGCGCTACCCTGTTATCCTGCTTTTAGATTTTGAGTATTCTGTGACTCGGGAATTCAGGCAACAATTGACAAATCTCCTGAATGCCACCACTAATTGTGGACCAGCACAACATATGAGGATCGATGGCATTAGCCACCGTCAGGCTGTTGCTGTCAATCAACATCGGCCTGATTAGTGTAGATCAGCGCCTTTTGGACACCTTCTAGACATGCGATGCAATGGTTTCTGCTTCTCAGCATTAAGGCATCGTGGCACCATGTCCTAGGCGGACAGAATTACTTTTTCCTCTTTGATTCTGATCACTGCCGTCCAAGTTGCAGTATTAGTTTGGCGGTAAAACTGGTGTCCACGTAATGACATAAACCATCTGACATCAGGTGGCATACAACTTATCTAGTAAGGAGTTGTCTCCTTGCTAGCTTGTCCCTGGATTACACTCTTGCGGTCTTGCCCTTTTCATCGTATTCATTTATATCATGTTTGATATCTTGCAAAGTGTTCCTATAGTTCAGTGAGAACTGAACCGAAGCTCTGACTGTTGCCTCACTGTTTGCGAAGATTATATCACTCCAGAGAAAGAAGTTCAGTCTTCTTATTGAACTCATGATGCTGATAGTTGCATGTTAAAAGGCTTAACTGGATTTGTTTTGGGGTGTATTACTCAACCAATTGCATTATACTACGACCTTATAAAGCCATGTTGTTCTCTAGCCTGCCATCCTATATCCAAGTTTCTAACAATTTGGTCACATATTAATTTTCAGTCACATTTTTGTATGAAAGATGAAATGAGCTCATCCTTAAATATGTGTCAGATTGATGCCGATCTCATCCTTTTCATATTAAATGTTGCAGCTATACGCCTGGTGTATTTCCTCTCCCAAATGAGACAGACTCTGCAAACTTCTACAAGATCGCTTCAAAACAGCTTTCTGAAGCAGGATATCAACACTACGAGATCAGTAGCTACTGCAAGCCTGGTTACGAGTGCAAGCACAACGTAACATACTGGCAAAACAGGCCGTTCTATGCGTTTGGTCTGGGATCGGCAAGCTACATCAACGGTGTCAGGTTCTCTAGGCCCAGAGGAATGAAGAACTACGCAGATTGGGTTCAGAAGCTGGAAGACGGGACCTGGTGCCACGAGCCTAGTGTCTCCGAGACGAAGGATATGGCGATGGACTCGGTGATGCTATCACTGAGAACAGCTCGCGGGCTGGATCTGCACAGTTTCAGTAAATCTTTTGGCGAGGGTCTGACACGGTCATTGTGCGAGACGTTTAGGCCTTTTGTTGAGAGTGGGTTGGTGATCGCCATGGACAAGGAGCGAGTGGCCCTGCAGTTCAATGAGTTTGAGTCAGATTTGGAGGGTGAGATGAGTGGGAGCAGGGTGGCCTTCCTCCGCCTGAGTGACCCGGATGGATTTCTGCTGTCCAACGAGTTGATCTCGCTTGCCTTTGGGACTATTTCGCCATGACAAGAGTAGCTGGCTTTTCGCATTGATAATTCCACATTCTTATTTGTCAGATTTTATCTGACAAAATTGACACTTACTGATATACTAGACATTAGCTGATCACTGGGATCCATAGCAATTTTTGTTTTACAAAATTGTTCAATTGTTCAGCTAGCACCAATCGTGTGTTTACCAGACCCCTAGCCGGTGCTTTCTGAATTTGAATTTAACGGGGCGCCTTCTACCTGTCAGTTGAGTTCGCACCTCCTGAGATGGTAATGTAGTGTAGTACATCCTGGCGAGGATTATGTTTTGGCAAGGCTTGGTTATTGATAATGTGCACATGAATCGTTTAGTGGTCACGGGGTCTGGACACTGAACTTGAACTGCTGGTCCTGAAGAGAATCCTTGTGGAGGGCAAACAGAAAGGATCGTCTTCAAGATGGAGGGCCTCAGCACCAACTGTTGTGTACGCTGTGCCTTCAGGAGCCTGAAACGATGAATCATCTTGTAATGCAGTGCCCATTCTCCAGGACTGTCTGGTCATTGGTGACCGTAGCTCTGAATATTGCCATCCCGTGCCTTCTTTAGCAAAATTCAGTTCTCGTGTGTCGGCGGGAGGAGGTGCTCGCCAATTATCCGAGGGCAAACACAAAGGAAGCCGGCGCGATAATCACTCCGGTGATATTCTCCATCTGGAAAGAGAGGAATCGGCGAACTTCTGACAACATCTCAACCTCGGACAGCGAGGTGGCAAACAAAATCCTTGCGGAGTGACCATTCCTAAAACAAATCCTTGTGGAGTGGAGGCTATGGAAACTAGCTTGGCATACGAAGAGGAGCGGTGCGAGAACAAGAGCGAAATCCCTATAGGCTTGGGGTGGATGTGGATTGCTAGAGCCTTTCTTCTTTAGCATCATGTAGCTAAAACTCTTTCAATCTTAATGAATCCACACGCAAAGCTCTTGCGTGTTCCGGAAAAAAGAACTTGAATTGCTGCAGTCAGGTGCCGAGAGTTTCATGTAAAGAAAAAGGTACCGAGTTTCCTTCACAGAGATGGAGAAACTTAGGCCGATCGAGTTTCAGTTCATATAGACAAAAAATTTAGCAGTCTCATTCGGAACTTGATTAGCTCTCCTATTACAGTAAATGTGGCCTCGGAGAAACTTAGATTACAGAAACTATCACGCTCTGTGGTCATCTGCGGATGCCCGTTATAGTCCACTACGATTAGCGCGAGGCAATGTGACAGCCCACACAAACCCCAATTCCTACCAGCGTCTAAGTGGAGGAGTGGGTTGTGGTGCATACGCCAAAGCTCTGCTTGTTCTCTTTGGTGGCATCATGCCGGCGGGAGATATGATCTCCGGTACCCGAGCATCCCTGCCAACCACTGTGAATACCACACCCACAACCGGCTCCGGACCTTTGGTGAGAGGTTTGGTGCAGGTGAGCAAGGTCATGTAGCTCCCCTCATGAGTGTGGGCATGTTTGGCCACATTCAATCTGAATTTTGCTTTGCAGAAAACAGTGACTAGTCACTTTTTTTACGACAAAGGTTCATGAGTAATTACATTGCAAAAAGCACCGGTCGTCCACTTAGCGCGTTTGATGCTGAAACTAGTAGGGTCCCTACTCGTCAGAGATTGATACGACAAAAAATGTCAGCCGACATGTTTACTGGTCTCATTCTTTCTCCAATCCTCATCCTGCACATCTTTGATTTCATCACAAGAGTTCTTCTTCTACCGCACCAGTTATCGTAGAATGGAAAAATGCAACAAACGAACCAATGGAGAAGTTTCAAATCACTGACACCGCCCTCTTCTTCCTTATCACGGGATCTCTTTCGCTAACAGGTATCGGTCTCCTTTCTGCATTCCCACAACTCCGTGGTGCTCCTATGCAGTTGGAAATGTTGTCCTCTTAGAGTCACGAGTCCTATAGCCTACATTTCTCTTAGTTGTTGATTCGCCGTCCACCATCTTTGTAGGAGCAATTTGATAAAATAGCACGCTTTTCCTTGTATTTTGACCCAATGCTTCATCTTCCTTTTTATTAGATAAAATGTCACACTTTTGATTCACTGCTAGATAAAATGGCACACACTGATTTTTTAGCTTATTTTGTCCAGTCTCGCATGTTAGAATTCATAGGACAATTTTGCCCCTCCGTCGTTTTGACTTACTGGTTGGATCGAACCTCACTAGGGCCTTCCATCGTTTCTGCCAGCGATATGTTTCTATCGAAACAGAGGCAGACAAGATGAGGTAGAGAAGAGGAACTGCTGCCTCGCCCGCTTCCTCCCACACGCGTCGCCAATTCCACTGCCATCGCCTGGTCGTGCCTCTGTCTCGACGTGTTGTCCTCATCTCCCGACGCATCGTCCCGCTTCATCTCTTCTCCTAACGCTCCACCAATTCCATCGCATCCTCACCCGTCCATGGCTCATCAAGCGAGCAGAACAAAGCACAACTACAGCAGCAACCTGTACATGGACGCGTCGCTCCAGCCGTCCAGCGCGGCCAGCAGCGACCTATACATGGACGCGCTGCTATGGTGTGACAGCTGGGGCGATCAGAGGGTGCCGCAGCGGCGTTGAGCGGAGGTCCGAGCGGCTAGTGTCTGACTACTATGGTGCGTGAAGGGGCGACGCCTTTTACTTTCTAGCTGGCGGTGAAGTGGCTAGAGTGCGGTGAGACGGGGCAGAGGGCTGGGGAGTGGTGAGGAGCCACACTTAGATGCGACGACGGTGGGATGGGCGGTGCACCGGGAGGAGGCACGGTGAGGGGAGCGAGGTGGCGGCGTTGTTCTGTCTCAGAGGTCCTGGTCACTGTCTCGTCTGCCGCTATTCTGATCGAACCAACCAAGTCAAAACAGCCAAGGGACAAAATTGTCCTAAAAATTCTTACTTGTGGGCCCAGACCTAGACCTAAAAATTGAGATAAAAAGTCAGATAAAAAGTCAGTGTGTACCATTTTATCTAACAAGAAGAAGGATATGCCACTGAGTCAAAGAAAAGGAAAAGTGTGTTACTTTAGCAATTTCATATCTCTTTCTAGAAGCCGTAATTTCTCTTTCGTCGACGACCAACACCATGTACTCCGCCACTGCCAACGACAACGTGCGTCACGGTTGAGAATCAAAAGTCCTCACCTATTTATATCGAACTTTTATATTTGTTTCGCACTTTCTTTTCACCAATTAGCAACAATTTTTCTTTGTTTGCTCCTCCTTTAATTATTTTAGAATACGTCACCTATTTATTCTCATAAGTTTCACTATTGATATGTTTGCCCGGCTTAAGTTCAGAAATTTTGTCTGATATTCATTGCATCTGAATTGAATACAAACAAGTTACGAAAATGATATACTGGAACATTTTACGAGTGCTCCTAATTTTATTTTAAGCTTAGAAGATGTATATTCTTACTAGAGGGAGCAGCTTCTTTCGGCATTAGCACAATTGTTAGTATATGATACTACATCTATAATTAAATATAAGATGTTTTTGCGGTTCAATTGAACTAAAAAATGTCTTATATTTAGTTATAGAGATAGTATTAACAATGTTTTTCAAACTGTGTCTAGCAAATCCACCTACCGGTTGTGTTGATAATATTGAACTATAGGGTTCCTTCCATTTTAACGCAAATATAATTTTGCTAATATATAAATTTATGTGTTTATAGGAATTATGTGAGATGTTGAAAACATAGTTTATGAGATTACAATAATTGAACTAAATTAAAATCTCTCCTAATCCAAGCAAATTAAAAGAGATGGAATCACATTCCTCAAAAATAATTTATGCCACTTTGACATGTATTATAGCGTGTATATATTGTTTTTAGTATATTTATATATTTTCCTGGAAGGTACTAGAGCATAGCTCTATTTGATATCGTGATATTAAGTTTATAGGGGGTATGGTCAAACTTGGTGTATAAAAAGATAATTTTATGGGCAGCACTAGGCGCCGGTTGAACGGTGAAAGCCTCGACCAGTCACCTTTCCAGCCGTCTGATTGTAGCGTGCAAAGCCGTCTGATTACACCAAGCACGATGACAATGCCAAGGTTGAGATCCATACTGAGGACTTCCAAGAACCAGATATAGGCATTTTAGAGTGTCAAAATATATTGTTTAAAGTGCTCAAATTAAAGATCCAACACTAAGGTGCATCGACATCATTCATGCAAATTCAGCGAGCCCAAGAATTTCAAACTTGGAATTCATATGAAGAAACAGCGATCGTTTTACTATAAAAAAGGTCCGGAGCAAAAGATGACGCTTGGTACGACCGCGCACGGTCGTATTGGCGGTCCTACCAGGCCCAGAAAGCTGCAAAGTCACCCAGATCAGACGCGATTCTTGGTGGAGTTCGTCCCCTTTTGTTTCCGCAACTTCCTTGTCCACCAAGTGAGGTATTGAGATTGGATTTGGCTCATCTACAAACCTTGGATCAAATTGGAGGAGCTGTATCAACGGAGGGACACGAGGAGGCCTCCTATATATACACCTCCAACCGTAGCCGCAGGCATATACACAACCTCCATCTCCATTGCCGCTCCAAGATCACATCCATAGAAGAAGGGACAAGACAAGAACAAGGAAATGGAGGCTCCGCCACCGCGCCGCAGCGGCCTTTGGGCCTGTGCCATCTCCATTGATGTAACCTCCATCGACACTGCCTTGGCTTCCCCTTCACCGACTTGGTGTCAGCTTGTATCATGCATCTCCCTTCTATGTTTATCCCTTTCATGTCCGAGTAGCTACATTAGTTCTTGAGGATATGGTTGAACCCTTGCATGATTTGAACTAATGTTTATGAGCGATCCAGTCATCCTCTTTTGAAGTGTTGCGTTGATTTTCTCATGGTGTTGTGAAGGTTGTGAAGGAAATATGCCCTAGAGGCAATAATAAAGTTATTATTTATTTCCTTATATCATGATAAATGTTTATTATTCATGCTAGAATTGTATTAACCGGAAACATAATACTTGTGTGAATACATAGACA